GCGGCCTTTGATGCAGGAGGGGCCAAAGGACATGGCGGGTTGGGGGGGTTGTGGCTTGCTGCTTTGGGCTCGGACTTCACGGTGCGCCGCAGCACAGAATTTCAAGTCAGTTTGTGTGCGAGCCGAGCATATCCGAGCATCAGCTTACACTGTCCCGTCGCCGGCAGAGAAAAGGGTTGCGAGGCAGTTTCACTGCGCAAAGTGCAGGACTGCTTCTCAGCCACCTGCCACTTGCCGAGGACGGGATTCCTGCGCCATCCAACATAGTTGCGTCTGTGACATGCTGAACGTGCTTACCTGCCTAGCTTGGACCCTCTGAAGTCTCTGAAGCATTTGAGCCCATTCGCTGCCAGGTACCCTTGGCCCGCTGCTATGTAGCAGAAGCAAGCCATTCCTGCGATGCCTCAACTGCACCAGGACATGTCCCTTATCTTCAACGGCGATGTCAAGGTCGCAAAGGCCAAGGCTGCTGCAGAGTCTCTTTTCCGCAAGGACACCTGCATGGTGTGGAAGTGATCAATGCGAGCGGAACAGCCATCACATGCAAGAGCCACATAACTACATCAGCAGCAGCAGCAACAACAGCAACAACAGCAACAACAACGGCATCACAAGCGTGAACCCTGTTCTTGGTGCAGCCGTAAGGCTGCAGCAGAACCACAACCTGCGACTATTGACCGCCACCGCAACCGCCACATGTCACCGCACTATGACTACTGCACCAGATCATCGTCATTCGGACTACCCTCGTCATCGCCGTTCACTAGGTGACTAGCTTCCGTGCCCCGCCACTTCATCGTTTGAAGCCTCTTGTGGCAGGACGGGCGTTCCTTCCCAGCGGATTCTGTTGGCCTCGGGGAGCCAGCTGCGGCCGCAGCCAAGATCGAGCAATCCAGGTCCAAAGTAAGACAGGATTTTCAGGGCCATCATGTGGCAGGAACCTCAATATGTACCATTGACTCTTAGGAGCACGAGGGAAAGTAACCAAGCAAATCAACAATTGATCAGACGCGTCAGAAGCCGCTGCATTGGCTGTGACAAAGATTAGCACACAACAAACAAAGGGCAGATGTCACTATTAAGACCATCAGTGGATCAACTGTCAAGCACCTCAAGCGTCAGTTTCACTTTCAACTCTGGGCTCACAGACGTTGGGTTTCACTAGTCAGTAGGCCCAGCCGGGAGCCACATCTCCACAAGTGTCGAGGCTATGCCCTGAATTGGACAGCTTTCGACGCCAGCTTTGGGGAGAAAGTTCCTTCACAATGCCGAAACTTGGCATGATGGAGGTTCGCGTCTCTCTTCTCTCCGGGATTCTTTTGTTTCGGGTTGACCTGGCAGCATGAACCTTGGTTTTCATTCTGGAAATCTCAATCTCAAAAGACTTCATGCTGAGGTGCTGCTTGCTATCAAAGGCGGAAGACTTCTGTATGTCAGTCCGCAGCATGGACAAGAGGAAACGCAAGAGCTGTAGGCAGAACATACAGTATAAGTATAGGGCACGAGCTGTACACCTTGGATGACGATGTTGATTCCACAATCAGCTGTGATTGAATGATGCGTCTGACGAGGAAAGCACCATGTCGTCATGTTCATCACAATCTGCAGCTGTGCAGTAGCATCAGCTCATAAAGTAACATTCGCAATCGTGACATGTTCTCGCCAATCGTCATCAAGACAACCAGCAGCGCTCTGCCACAAACGAGTTATTGCGTCCCAGATTCCTTCCATCACCGCCTTTCCCCTCTCTATCATAAGCTTCAAGACCGCTGTGTTCCTTGTTACACCCATGGTGGCTGGGTATGTGGATTTCCAACACTACTTGTATTCTTTGCTGCTGAACCCCTTTCTCTGCGGGCGGTGGCCGCACATATAATTATAAGAATGCAACCATGATGCCTCGCGAGGACACCCGACCTGCCCCGATGATCTTATGCAAGATACATACAAGTACAGACCCTTGAAGAAGCAAGGCCAGAATATGAGTGCAAACTAAAATTCCCGTCAAACGTTATTGCGGCGATCGCGGCTGTGCATCATTACCCAGCATGTGAACCACTTTGTCTACCACCACTATGACTACCAGCCTCAGTGTGATCGTCGTCGGCATCATCGTCAATCCCCCAACCCGGCCATGGCAATCATCACCAGCACCATCAATATTGGCAAACCAACGTCATCAGGATCACTGTCATCATTCTAGTCAACATCACTGTCATCACAGCTATGGCAAGCTTCCCCCTTGCCATCATGATTTATGCACCCTCAGCTTGCGCTACGGTGGACGACTTGACGGGAGCTTATCGTTTGTCAACGCGAACCATGCAGATCACTGACCTTCAGCGCGTATCAGATTAAGCATCGAGTCTGAGCATCGGGTTTGACTTTTACTGCTGAAGCTTGTTCCAGTTTTGAAGCCTCCGAGCGCCAGCCTTAAGCCCGTGCCGAGCCCAACGCACGCTAAATACGGCATCGACTCACACCATACACAAACAAAGAGCACAGCAGGCAAACTAACAAAGAGAAACACAGAGAGAGAGAGAGAGAGAGACAGACACACAGACTTGAGGCGCACGCGCGCACACACACACACACAAGCCAATCAGACGACAGGAAAGCATTGGAAGAGTTGCTGGGCGTCGCGGTTCTCGCAGGGCCTGGAACGTCGGAGGCCTTAGCGGCCTGCTCGCAGCCACCACCGGCGAAACTTGGGCACGTTAAGAAATTTGTGTCAGCTCTGGCAGAGCAGAGACTGTGTCTTGCGCTGCCCTTGCAGTCGCTATTCCTGCTGGTTCTGCAGCTGCTACCAGCAGCCCAGCCTCCCATGGCCATGTTCATTTTCAGTCGTGGTAGCCTCTTCGATTGCCTTGACATAGAAGGCGGCCGCTACTGTGGTTTCCTGACCGTTCCATTGCTTCATTCTTCACATATCCGAAATCCCTTCATAGCCAAACTCCGGATTCGCTGATCCCAGGAACGCCTTCGAACCCGAAGCTGCAGAAATGCCTGACTTTGGTCCACCAGATGAGGACGTTTGCAGCGCCGTGGAATCGAGTACTGCACCCTCCTCCGAGTCTCGGAAAGCTCCCACCGGCCACGCAAATGTGGGTGGCGAGTCCCTGGTACCTCTGGGAGACATGCAGGCATCGCAGGTGTTGGCTGCGCCAGGGGGCTCTACAAGCAAAGCTGATGTTGTGGCTTTCGACGAGCTCTTTCAGAAGTTCTGCGGTGCCGGAGGCTCGAATCAGTTCGCCTACTTTGAGGAGTGTTGGTCCAAGCCGGGCCGCGGCAAAGCTGGCAAGGCCAGCAGTGCCTTAGCCGACGCACAGGAGGGCGCCCTGGCGGCAGTGCCTGAAAAGGAGGGCAGAGAGGCAAAGGAGAGGCAGCCGAAGAGGCCTCTTTTCGATTTGGCCAACTTGGATAAGCCAGCGAAGCCCATTGAGACAGAGCCCGTCGCGAAGCATCAGCTGAATGAAAGAGCCACGCAGTGGCAGCTGCGAAAGGACGTGCCTCCGTACCTCGAGTGGAATTCGCAAGCGGTTTCAGAGTCACAGCATGTAGATTTGGGATGTGGGAAGTGCTACATTCTTGTAGCCAATTAGAGACAGAAGCATGTACATACATGCATGCATGCATACATACGTACACACATACATACATACATACGTACATACATATGCATGCATTACATATATATAGAGTATAGTTATGTACACACACATACATATATATATATATATGTGCAAATAAGCGTTAATGTCACGTCTTATCACAATATGTATGATGTTTTATTTATTATATATACATATTTCACAGATTTATATAATGTGCATTCTACGTTTATATTACACATAATTACATCTTAAGTTTTGTAGTATGTACTCAAATATCTATATATGTTTATATGTGTCATATTTCATATATCACATCCTGCGTATTCTTCAGTATAAATATATATATATATATATATATATATATATATACATATGCATATATATATATATATATATACAAATCAATGTTTCATCTATGACATAATTGTTACATAGTTCAGGGCATTGCATTGCATATAACATATATATATATATATATACATACATGTGTACCTCTATATATACATATGTATCATATGTCTTATATGCTACATTGAAGAATATACGCAGATATGTTTTTACATGAGACCGGACACACTATGTATATATATATATATATATATGTATATATATATATAGAGAGATACATACTTGAGATCACATATACTGTATATTACATATTGTATATTGTTTATTAGGCAAAATATATATTGAGCTACATGCCTCTCTCTCTCTCTATATATATATATATATAGATTACACATTATATTTTATGTTTTAAATGGTCTCTGCGTTATGTTATATAGTAACTATGTAAAATGAGTTGTACAGTATATGCTACGATATATATATATATATACACATAAGAAAAGTATATTATAGAATATCGCATACACATAAAAATATCTATACATATATATGTATATATACATAATCGACACATCGTGAGCAGTATATAGCACCTAAGTTGTAATACATGAAATGTAATATGTAAGATGTCACAATACAACATAATACAATATAGTGTAGCAAAATAGTTCAAAGTTTACAAGATATGCTTTAGAGCTTAAGTATGTAACATACGATATGAAACCTAAATATTATAATATATAAGGTTATTATTCCATATACAGTTTATTAACTACAAAGTACAATATATACTAGTTAGAATTTCCTTCCAATGTCTGCATCTGTATGTGTATATATATATACACACATAGATACACATATTCTAAGGTACAAGATGCAAGATGAAAATAATTTTCATACATATATATATATATATATTGTAAAACTCAACATAATAAGAACATATTTGTGTATAATATACACCTGGGTGGCATGATATGTTTATATGTTTGTATGTAACTATATACATGTATATACATAGTCTTGCATATCCAATTACGTATACGTTTATTGTCTATGATGTGTGTATGTGTATATATATAAGAGTCATGTATAATGTATGTCTTTGCGGCTCTCAATCCCCATCCACAGGTTTTGGTGTTTTTGTTTGCTAAGTGAACAGGAAGGTGACGCGATTGGCAAACATGAACTAACCATGAATTATGAACGTTGTGTCAATGAGCATCATGGGCAAGCACGAAGGAAATCGCGTTTGATTCAGACAAAATGGTTGTCATAGTATGGGAGCATAGCTTCCCCGTGGCCACCCACGCAGATTTCATATCAAGCTGGATTCGGGGCCGTGTGGTATGGTTTGCTGCTTGTTACAGTACTTAATTACTTTATTCGTTGCCTCGTATTATAGTCATCTACGGAATAGGCCGGACAGTCAAGAAGTGTCATTATGCCTTTTTATGCATCCGTGAACTTAAGTAAATACCAGCACTAGTAACTAGTAGCAAGTCGTAGCAACGCGTGATCCCAAAACTTGCAGGTCTTGTTATCATTGCAGGGAGTATTGTAGTCATTGCCTTGCCTATCCAATTCATTCTCAGAACTTTCTAACATGCTAATCTGTTCTTCTGTTCGAATTATCGAGTGTGGGTTTAAGCACTACGTTTAGCAATGTTATTGTCACGATTACCAGTGTTCCTGTTACTGCGGTGATTTTACTTCAGTAATGCTAACCCAGCTAACAGTACACACCTCATGTCTTTTCATTCTCGACGAATGTTGCACTGGCTCTCGCTAAGTGACCCTTTCGAATGCGGTTTTGTCTGTGGCTCATTGCTTTTGGCACATTTTGGGACAGTCCTTTATAATGTGGTTTGCGACCTGCGTTCTGCTAACGGTGAGTCTTAATTGAGTACTGGATCAACAGAAAAGGCCTGAGGCTCGATTTCCCTGTATATTACCCTTAATGGAACCCTGAACCACCAACCTTGAACCCTAAACCCCCGACCCTAAAACCTTAGAGTACTCCCCAAAAAAGGGCTAACTCCCCAACCTTAAAACACTATCTACGCAACTTCCAGAGCCCCTTAAGGAGCCTTCAATCCACACCAAAGCCCCAACCCCCAACACGACAACCTGTGTAGTACCGTCATAAAAGCATTTAAGGAACCTATGTACAGGGTAGGGTTTTAGGAGAGTTCTAGACAGGAACCTCAAGCTTTTCCAGGCTTTCTACGGATTGAAGAGGTTTGTTTAGGAGGGCTCAGGTTTGGGTTCTAGGTGGCATTTGCCAAAGTTTAGCAGGAGTTAGGCTCGGGTTCGAGATGGCGCTTGCCTCAGGTTGGACAGGAACCTCCAGCTTCTCGACCCAAGCCCATCAAATCGTCCAAGACCTTTCTAGCTCAATCATCAGACCTTCTGAGAAGCTTCTTGTTAAGCCCACCCAACTCACCCCCCTCGAATCCGGAAACCCACCTGCTTGCCATACCCGTCACCCCCGAAACCCACCACACCCTCCGAAAACCTGCCGATGGAGCCCACCGAACCCACGCGCCCCCATCAGACCTTCCTTCTGTACCAAGCAGGGCGGTCTAGGGCACGGTCACATCATTCAGGCCGCCGGGATGTGTTTGGGCAGGGGCTCCCGCCCACCAAAGCAAATGCAACAAAAGTTTTACTGGAGACATTCTCTTGTGGTTCAAACAGACTAATTTGTATACTGTTCAATAACTTTGTTTAATAGTAGCCAAGCATTATTAAGTAAGCGTATTACTTGCGGAGTACTATGTGTCTTCATTTTGATAAGCATAAGCCTACATGCAGTAGTGTTTGAATTTTCGCACCTGTGCTTGTAGTATATATCAACTTCCACGAATCAGAATTATGGCAATTATGGGTTGTTCAGACAACGTGGTTTTGTTTAACCGGCTCATGTCGCGGCTGCAGAATAAGCTCCAGTGTGTAGGGTTCTGTGGTGTCGATGTTGCATATGTTCATTTGTTGATGGTTAACTGTTCACTACGCTGGGTTTAGTTCATCTTAGGTGTGCGCATTATGCAGGTCATGCCCATTTTATTGGTCAAAGTATCATTTGTCATCTTTGTGAAGTCGTTTTCGAAAACACCTACCACATGATGACCATTGAATAACCATGACTGTCAGAATGTTGGTCCGCATTTTATATTTACCGATATTGTGTAAATCCAGAGCGCTTTCATGTAAGCACACATTGAAGCCATACGAATCATGAAAACATAACTAACGACTACCCCCCCCGGCAAACACAAACCAACGAGCAACTACTTTCTACAATTGTGATTAAGCAGGGGTAACTTTCGCACAACGTCAGTTTTCCAATAGAAAGAGCAGCTTCTGTACACTGTCAGCAAGAGACGTCTTCAAGCACAAACTGATGACAACCCTTCTGTGTAGGACATATCAGCGAGTTCAATCCACGACTGATTGGCAACTTGCAAATACTTTAAATGCACAAAAGCAGATTACGTCCCTTGACTACATAAAATGTGTTCAACCGCAATGTTTGGTATCACCGATGCCTTGAAGCTCCTACCTGTGCAGAAATGTCAACAAATCCAACATGTTCCATGTTATATCTGTGGAAAGTGATGGTAGACCCTACATGTCTAACAATTTCTTCTCGAGAAACCGCAGAAACTGGAGCTACCGGTTGTAGGATCAGGAAATTGTTGCAACTGTTGGGAGAAGCAACATTTTCCATGATCGACGAGTGAAAATTTCGGTGAAACCAACGTCTCCAGCAATGTCCATGAAATTCGAATAACCTCGGGAGCCGGAGCCATCGTTCTGGAGCCAAAAGCAGAAGAAAGCCTTAAGCTTTGAACAACCCTGGAGCCGGAAGTACAAAACGCAAAAGCCTAATTTCCCAGACATGCGACGGCCAAGAGACACGAGCACATACTGGGCATGATATGCGCAGGGCACAACCTGGCTGCCCGGGGGTTGGGGGGTGGCTGTATACGTAAATATATGTATCTCTCTCTCTCTCTCTCTCTCTATCTCTATCTCTATCTCTCTCTCTCTCTCTTCTCTCTCTCTCTCTCTCTCTCTCTGTGTCTCTCTCTCTCTCTCTCTCTCTCTCTCTCTCTCTCTCTCTCTCTCTCTCTCTCTTCCTGTGATAAATTATACAAATATGTGTATACACATGTATGTACATTTATGCATGGATGTATGTAGGTATGTAGTTGTACATGCATTCAATCGAACATACACACGTACATACATGCACAGGCGTGTACATGTATGTGCATGCATGTATATGTATATGTACATGTATATGTAGTAGCGCGCGCGAGAGAGAGAGAGAGAGCGATGCGAGCGAAGGTGAAATTGTATACATTGTGTTATATCTATAGATACATAAATATATATGTACAAGCTATTATGTATGTGTATATATATACACATACATATACGTATATACATATATATATATATATACCTGTATTTATAACAGGCCCTCCTGTGATCCAGGTTTTCGTTTGTGTTCATATGTACACACTGATGCCTTCAGATATCCCAGACTTTCTAAGCATTTCAGATTTTCCAAAAAAAAATCCAGACACTCTCGACATATCATGCATTCTGTATATTCAGAATATTCTTATTTAAGCTCTCTTGGTATATATATATATATATATACATATATATATACATATGTATGTATGTATACTGACACAGAGATAGATGTGCGTTTATTGATTCGGTGGTATGGGTACCGTGTATGTGCATATGCAGTATGCAGAAGTGGGTGTAGATTTCTGTATGACCTAGATGCGCACAGGTATACATAAAGGTGTGCACATGTGTTTCGACACATTGCAGATTTACAAGTATGTAGACAAACAGCGTATGCGTACATGTTCATGCACAGGTGTATGTATGTATATATATATATATATGTACGTATGCATGCATGCATGCATGTAATATATGTATGTATGTGTGTATGTATTTGTGTATGTATTTGTGTATTTTTGTTTTCACATAAAGACGCACATATCTAATGAAACATGTACAAAGATATAGGAACAGTGACAAAAGCAAGCCTTTGCAAATACTCAGGGCTTCGAGGTCGGACCGTGGTCGTCCTTTTGCATGTCCATTGCACGGTAGCACCTTCAAAGCAATAATACTTGTGCACCGTTTGTCCAAATCTCCAGCGTTGTGCAAGGTACATGATCGATCGAATCACCATGCCGAGTTGGCAGACCTGGTCCAAGGTGTCTTGGATTGCCCTGGAGGGTTGAGGAAAGATAAGCATCCCATCGAGTTTGGCATAGACTGTAATTACATGACGGAGCGGAGACGGTATAGACTGTGATTGTGTCGTCACTTCTGTTCCAGTTCGGCCGGGTTGCCTTCCTGCATGGACTTGAATCCGCAATCTTGAACCCCGCTCGACAGCACGCTGATGGCTTCGCAGCACGGAAGGAGCCGACAGAGGTCCCTTCCCTCTCCTGCCCCCTTACCCCCATGCTCTCACTCCTGTACCCCGCCATCCCCTGCCCGCCACAAAGCTTCAGACGTATCCGATGCGGCGTCGCAAGGTGGATTTTGCATGCTTGGGCCTGCGTCCTCATCTCATGCTGAAGCTGGTCAAGAAGCCTCCTCCTTCGGGCGAGGGCCCACACGGCTTCTCCGACCTCTTTTCAACAGTGGTCGTGGAGAACACGGAGGCGCCCTTGATCGGCATAGGTGCACCTTGGTCGTCCTAGAATCCGAAATCACGTGGCCGTTGATCCCAAACCATTGCAAACCTGACCAGATCAAGTTTGGAGCCGCTTGCAGGCATTCCCATGGCTCGCATCATCGAAGCCACGCAGGGCAGATGCCACCTGGCAGCAGGGAAAGCTTTTTGAAGATTTGCGGGGCGCGGCATGCAATCCGATCTGCTCTTAGCACCGGTTACAGCGTCGTTATCTGTCGAGTTCCGGTACTTGAATGACCGGAGTAGCAGTAGGACATTACATGAGCACTTGACTAAAGATTCTGGAGGAGAAAGGATCATGGAATCATGGATTTCACGGTGTTACATGTTGGCGGTCTCGTGATGCTTATATGCAGAGCTCTTCAGCTTCCATCCCGCGCGTATGAGCTGTAGCAGTCGGTTGCTCTATTACCCCCCCCCCCCCCCACATAGCAGATTAGACATCTGCAGGGCGAACGGCACTAGACTCCAGTTCAGAGCAGTACCAACTCGAAACTCAAGTTGAGACAAGCACGCAGGATGGCGAGGAGGGATTCACAGCTGACGCAGCGGCGGAGGCAGGCCTTCAGTATCTCCGGGTTACTATATGGCCACTACCACTACGAGCTTTCATGATGTCGTTGCTCACCTGCCCTGTTCGTCATGATGCAGCACTTGCTGGTATCAGTTTCGCTTCAGGTTTGGTCGTGCTCAGTGACATTCTTGATTCACGCACCATCACCATCACCTTTGGCAGTGTCGTCATCACCAGCATGATTAACAGCATCATCATACTAGTAATGTTCATCTTCATGCATTATGATGTTCATCATCGGAGACGTCTTCATCACCGTTCTCTTCCTCCTCGCCATCCTCCTCCTCCTCCTCCTCCTCCTCCTCCTCCTCGTCCTCTGCCGCCTCCTCCTCCTCCGCCTCCCCTCCTCCCAATCTCCGCTGCCACATCCCCCGCCTCCTAATCATTGTCACCATAGCCATAACCATCCCGGCAACGAAAGTTGGATTGTTGTTTACATCATCCCCCGCCCCCCTGCCACCAAAATGCCCCACCATCAGGAAGAAGCAGGCTCCATCATTGTTGCCACCATCACCTTTGTCATCCCCACCAGCATGATTGCCGTCATACTCATTCCCAGCTGCCCTTCTCATCATGATCGTTAGTTTCTCCATGCTGTTCTACATGATAGCCAGTATGATATTCACGACCGTCACTATCCTGATCATCAATAATTATTGCCATCTACTTCTTCATCCAGGACAGCATCATGATTAGCAGTAGCATGAGCGTCGCATCATCAAACGTGGTCCTTGTTGCTGACTTCGGCAGTTGCCAGCTACTTTATGTGTGCTGACTTGGCGGCATGTTCACCACTTGTTCGTTTACGCAAGTACGTAGATGTGCTGTGTCATAATATGGACGTGTTGTACGATATATGTATCATAGGCTCCCGACCTGTGGAATCCTGTTCTGCCCGGTGCGGAGGATGGCGCCGATGACTTCGATGGCAGTGGCCTTCCTGCCCACTTGGATGTCGATCCCCAGGAGTCCGTAATTGCTGTTTCGGAGAGATGGCTTTCGCTTCGGAAGCACGTTGACAGGCACCGTGACCCTGTGACAATCGCATGGAACCTTGTCACTATTAGTTATATCAGCCGTGCTCTTTGCTATACGAGTTCATGTATCCAGGCTAGCAGACTAGCATAGTGACGCAAAATTGGCCATCCCTGATTTATGTTGAAGGTCGTCTTTAGGCCAGGGAATGCTAGGGATGTAGGACGGGCCGGGTGTTGCAAGCGTTTTGGAAATAGAAGTCAATCATGACAGTCAGATGACAGTCAGGATGAAACTCATTGGTACCCTTTGACAACGAATCTACTTTCAAGACGCCAGGAGCTTTTCCTGGGACCCAACGACAAGGCCAGAGACATAATTCCCCCAGCTTTAGCAGCCGCTTAAAGGGTCCTGTCTTGAATAGGTAAAACGGATTTGCGAAGTGTTTCAATTGTGGCAGTATTCAACCGCATCCCATTGCATGATCCCCGCCAAGAATAAAGTCATATGTCTGCCCGATATGTGCGTATAAAGAGAGACCATGACAAAGACCGACAGACTTACAGAGGTGCTGCCTGGCGGTGATGACAACCTGGGTGATGTCGGCTTCCTGCCTGCATCGCCTGAGAGTTCACCTTTTCAGGTCACGCGGGCGCAGTTGCGGGGACTGCGGTCAGCGGCAGTTTTTGCGAGTGGCAAGTCCTCCCAAACTCCGCCCCCTCGGCCCAGGTACCACAGCGTATAGTCCACAGAACGTGTGTTCGCTTTTCAACAACGAAACTCCGAAGAAAATCGAATCGATTAAGACCCTGGCAAACCCCAAGCCTTGTATTGGTTTTGGATCTGTTGTAGGTCATCAGCAGATCGAGTTGCCGAAATCATTAGGCATCGAAGGGTCTTATTGTTTTCTTGGCGTTTGCACCGGCACGGGTTCTACCGATGTTTACCAAGAGGTATGGAAGATATGGCCGGCTCCTTCATGGACGGCGGACTGGATTTCGAGCTAGCAGAGAAGCCTACCTCTGCCGAAAGCATTGACATTGTCGCAAGCCTGCACGTGGAAAGGGGAGTTCAGGGCACTGTTATGGGCATGGGTTAGATGGAAACACCTGCACCTGAAGCACAACCTCGTCACAATTCATGTTCATAGTTTCGGGTGTCGTTTTGTAATTGCACATGAGGCCTGAAAAGGTTCTGTGGTGTAGACCTCACCCGCTTCGGGAAGCAATCCGGCTTGCCCGGGGGA